GGGGGGGGGGGGGGGGGGTGTCCGTCCTCCTACCCACTGCTCAAGTCTACAGGCAACGGCGCTATTTCTGTCCCTCAATCAAATGTATCCTGTTACACACACACACACACACACACACACACACACACACACACACACAGCAAAGAAATAGTCACTGTGAAAACTGTCCATGGTGAGGTCGGGGACATGTCACAGTATCTGGGACGTGATGAAGGGCATTCTGGGAAATGTAGGAAATCAGTTAGATGAATCAGGTGGTAGGAAAGAAGACAGAACAGAAAAGGGCATTATACAGAATATCTAATAGATATTATACATCGCAGATGAACGTGTCTCTGGAGGATTTATTTGTTATTTCAGAACCCAGCTGTGTTCCGCTTTGTGTTTCCCTCCAGCCTGAAGTTCCCGTCGGACCTGGATGAGCTGCGGGAGCTCGCTGAGATGCTCAAGTTCTATAAAAGAGAACATCACGGCTACGTTCTGCTGCTGTTCTGCAGCGCCTACCTGTACAAACAGTCTTTCGCCATACCTGGCTCCTCCTTCCTGGTGAGAGTAAACACACATGAAGGGATGATAAACAGAGCATCTCTGTCCTAACAAGCCATTCTGCTTTCTATTGATTTGAGTTTTTTATCATCTGATTTCAGAATATTAATTCCAAGAATTATCCAGATGAATTTCTTAAATTGATCCATCTGTTCGTCCTCCCCTCCCTCCTTCAGAACATGTTAGCCGGTGCGATATTCGGGCCCTGGGAGGGTCTGGTTTTGGCCTGCCTGCTCACCACTTCAGGCTCCACGTTCTGCTTCCTGCTCTCCTCTGTGTTTGGAAAGCAGCATGTGGTTCAGCTCTTCCCTGAGAAGGTGGCCCTGCTGCAGAGGAAGGTAAACTCGTCTGTTCAGCACCTGAGATCACAGCAGTGGTTTAACTTTAGAGTAGGAGGCATGAGAAGTTTTAAGTAACGTGAGAAGTGAATGTAACAAAAGTGAAATTACAACTTGGCAGAACATAAATCATTTTTCATTGCTCAGACAAACAAGAGAAGAAAAGAAATGGTGGGTGTCAGATGCTGTATAGGAAATGCTATAAAGCCCTTTGAGCCAAAGCTGTGGTTGTAGATATTGGTACATGTAGATAAAACTGACATGGCAGCAAAAGGAAAAAAAAGAATCTTACGATTAAAATAATTAGATATTTTACTTTCCACCTTTTTTCAATCACCTTCTTATGTCTGTTTTTCCATTTTCCTGCTTTCTCTTTTTCCGTTTTCTCTCTCCATCTCTTTGTCCTTTCCTCTTTTCTGTCAGGTTGAGGAAAATCGTAGCAGTTTATTCTTCTTCCTACTTTTCCTTCGTTTCTTCCCTATGACTCCTAACTGGTTCCTTAACATCACCTGTCCCGTCCTCAACATCCCTTTACCTATTTTCTTCTTCTCCGTGTTCATAGGTGAGACAACACACGCCTTAAAAAAACAAAAACAAACACACAACACAAAGATCTGAAAATGTCAATCACTCAGCTGCTGCTCTCGCCTCCCAGGTTTGATTCCCTACAACTTCATCTGTGTCCGCACGGGCTCCATACTCTCAGAGATCTCCTCTCTGGACGACATCTTCTCCTGGAGCACGCTGGCCCAGCTCCTGGCCATCGCCCTGGCGGCTCTCGTCCCTGGAGCGCTGATCAAACGCTACAGCAAAGGTCACCTCAAGGTGGACGGCATGGACAGCAACGGCACCAGTCAGGCTGAAATCAAGCGGGACCGGAAGAGACGGTGATTCTGGGATGACATAAACACAACTTTGTGCCAGAAGAAGTAAGGTGGGAAAAAACTCTCCGCCGTGTGACCTTTTGTCCGCTCCAGCCTCGGGATTTTTGTAAGGTCACACCAGATGCTCATCATACGTATAATGGTAATAGTATGATCTGTTCTGAAAGTGTAGAAGTGTCTTCAGGTCGTGTTACATCAGACTTGAAGGTTACACTTTCCCAAAGATCTCTCACTGCTGATACACAGCAAACTTTTTTTAGGGGAGATTGGCCCTAAATATCCTTGTATTTATAAAAAGAAAAAAAGTCTTAAAAGCTTAAAAGCTCTTGAGAGAGCTCAATGGTTCATTTCATGGGGAAAGATTTGTGTTACAGTGATAAAGAAGCAGCTTTAAAATGAATGAAATCACCTTAATTATCTTGATATAAGATCATTATTATATTGGAATTTATCCAACGTAGATTTTCAATTTCAGTTTCAACTGAGATATTGTAGAAATGTAATACTCTCTCACTGACATGATCCCTGTGATCTCAGTGAAACAGACGGTTGACTGCTGTCATACTGGAAGTCCATGGCCGACCAGAGGTTTGCCTGTCACCAATAACCCAGTGTCACAGTGTCGCTTAAGATTGTTGCAGTGCCTTAAAGCTGTGTGTGGTGGCGTTCATTGTAAAATATGTTTGCCACTGCGGTTGTTGTTGTTGTTGTTGTTGTTGACTCCTACAGGATACGTCAAACCAAATAACACACAAGTGTTTTTTGTTATGCTCATAATGATCAGTCTGGATATCCCCACAGACCTTTGTCACTTTATGTCCCTTTTTTTTTTCTTCTTTGTTGATTTTACACTCTGCTGTGGGTTATGAGACCAGACAGTTAACCAGCTAGACAATAATAATCTCCTGTCCTTACACGGTGTTTCCCCTGCCCTCCGCTGTCATTTACAGTCACGTTTGTCCCCTCTCCTCTGTGTGTCTCAGCCCCTCCCCACACAGAGCGGAGGAGAGACAGCCTGTTACTTTAAGTGCAATAAAAGCTTTCCAACAAGTGTCATGAATCCCCCTGAAACCAACGACGGACCCCAAACGTCTGAAAGTCAGGCCAAAATGTTTTTAAACGCACGCAATGTGGCGAGAGTGGAGGAGGAGCTTGTGCCGGCCGGAGCACTGGCAGCTGTCCTGCTCCCTACAGCCACAAAGAGAAGCCGGCAGCAAGACACACACACACACACACACACACACACACACACACACACACACACACACACACACACACACACACACACACACACACACAGTAAATCAGTAAATCAGTAAATCAGTTTTCAGCCAAACTTCATTGGAAAAATTTGTTGTTGTTTTTTTTTTTAGGACATTTTGAATTCAAGATTGAGTCTCTGTCTTTTCCCAAAGCACTTACTTTGGTGTCTTGATGTAGCTGTGACTGCATTCACTGATGTTTTAGTTTTACAGCAGCTCTGTGCCGATCGGCTGTGATCATCTCAGGATGTTTCTATGACGCAGGGAAAAGTGACTAAAGTCACAGACTCCTGGGAAATCAAAGGAGCTAATGCAACTGATTCCACAGCCTCAGTCAGTCGCCTGTCTCGACGCAGACTCCTGTGATTCCACAGTAGTCTGAATTTTGGGGCTTTCTCTGCATCAAAGTTTCAACAAAGAAAAGACATGAATGACGTTGAGTGATTGGTACTTTCTCTTGCATATTGAACTTCACTGAACTGTGCTCAAATGGAACCGATCAGCAGAGCTTTTTGTATCCTCTTATAATCAGAGTTTTGTACATTAAACTTGTATCTAACATCACATTTTCCTAATGATTTGTACCATTGGTTCCTCTTGAACCTTCAAGTGAGTCTGCACTGCATTCAGTTTGGATCTTAGGATGAGAGATTTTTCTTCTCCTCTTTGACCAAAAACAGTTCAAGAAAGAAATTCTCCAGTCTGCTCATGGGAGACAAAATCTGTTTTTTAGCCAACATGCGAAAACGTGCAAAAACTGTGTAAAAATATAATGAAGTCGGTGATGTCCATCGTTCAGTTGCAGGTGATTGATATGTGAGACCTGAAAGTTTTTTTTGGATGCAAACAGTTTATTTGTGCCTTTACGGTCTCACAGTCATTGACTCGGATTGACAGCAACACACTTGATTCAAAAACATCCACAGTTACAACACAGTTAATCCTCACATTAAAACCTCTCGTGGTTTCTCTCAATACTTCCCAACACACACATCGCACAGGAACATTTTTCGTCATGCACACAAACACACATAAACAAACATACACCTTCACACTGGCTGAGGCAGGCACTCTATCGCAAAAACTCATCTCTAACGACTCAGTAAACACAAGGACCTGATGTGAATTGCATGAACTTAAATGTAGTTGTCAGTTGGCAGAAGACACAAAGATGGTGCATGTAAAATACAGTGTGTGCACATGCAGAGGAAGAACAAGGATCCAGCAGAACGTTATGCTCTAGATGAAAGGTCAGGGGTCACCAAATGATTAGGATTTCTGCTCACAGAACAATGAATATTTGAGTTTCTTGGAAATCTGACAACGCAACAAAAATATCTTCATTAAAGCATCAGACTGACATTAGTGTGATCTTTGTCTCTGCTCTCCTACAACCCTGCCAACACATTGTAAACTTCATAGTATCACAAATCAACAGAAACTTAACAGACGAGAAATAGTTGTAGTGTAAACAGTTCAGTAGTGGTTTTGTGTATAATATGCAGTAAGCTACGTTCAGGTTCATAGAGACATCGTAGATAAAGGGCTCATCTTCTTGAGGTTTCAGAAACTTAATCTCACATCCTGCAGGTTCAACTTAGTGGCAACGAAACAACTTGAGTTCTTCAGGTTCGGCCTCGGCTGAATCCTCAGATCAAGCTTGTGCCGGATTTGGCTGAAAAGGCATCTGTGCTAATTCTCCACCCTGCCTGAATGAATCCATTTACATGACCACAATCGCTCCCAAACAAATGTTTCACATCGACAGCGGCGACACAATTAAATAACACAAAGATAAAACTTAAATCTTTTGCAGCATCATCAGAAGACAAACATCCAGTGAGTTGCATAATTTAAAAACATGGTGAATGTTGTTGTTCAGTCAGTGCAAGATTTTCAGTGCCGAGCAGAAGTCTGTGCTGCTCTCAGTCATGCAAGTAGTCAACGTAGACCAGTGGTTAAAAGACACAGCGTGCAAAATATCAAATACTGAAGTAACAGGCAGGTTCAGGATGATTTCATATCTGAGAGAAAACATGGCAACATATAACAGAGCGAGCAGGTGAGAGCAGCCTGGCAGCTCATTGGCTAAGAGCAGACATTCAGTACCATCAGTTTACTGGTCTGCTCTTGTCGTCTTCTCACCACTGGCACTCAGATGAACAAAAAATAACACAATATATGAGGATGACAGGCTGGTGAATGGCAACTTGTCCTTTTAAAAAAAACAAAACAAAACAAAAACAACTTATTTCACACTCTGAAAATATTCATTGGCTCACAGAAATCTAGATAAAAAAAAAAGACTTTTCTGTCACTTCTTTGACAGCGATTTGATCCTGGTCACATCTCAGGGCAACTAAAATCAAAATGCAATAATCAAAGCCAGCTGAGTTCAGAGCAGCGAAAACACTGAAACAAAAGAGAGTTAGAAAGGCTTGGTCCAGAGCCAGGAGGGGTGAAGTACTGGCAGGGAGTGCTCGTTTCGCCTTCTTTCAGTTTCCTTGTTTCATGTTATATTTGTGCTATGTGTCTTTTCAGCTGTAAATTTATGAAGGGGACTTCCAAGTCTTTCAGTAGTCAGAGCTAGAAATGTTCACAATTCGACCACAGGGTGAAGCCTGAGGGGACAAGCAAGCAGCAACCACCACGAGGAGCTTAAGACAACTGCCAATCAAGGCAAACATGCTATGAAATGTACCAGTTAATATCATCTTTACGGAGCAAATGAATCACAATTGCCACCATCACACACATTATACTATCACAAGGAAAGTTCTTCAGAGAAGATGTGGGTCTGTCTCATTTCCAAAGCCAGTATTTATGCTTTGCCACTCATCCATGGTAGTTGCTGCTTCGTACCCCCAAGCCCGTTTTTTCCTCCACCTCTCCGTCATTTCCTGTTTCATCTTTCTCCTCTTCTTCTCCATCTGATTTCCACTCACTTCCTGTCACACGTTCTGGCACCATCCCTCCCCTCTCCCCTGTGGGAAGTGGTACAGCAGTGTAACTTCATCCCTGAAGCTGTGCTGACCTGTCAAATGATCCAACACTCCTCCCTGCTGAAGTCGAACGCCGTACAACTCGGCCTCGGCTCTCCCAGCACACAGACCCCGCTCAACCAGCCAGTCCACCAAGTCACTGCCCCGAAACGCACTTTCAAGGTGGGACTGGGGACGCTGATGGAGATGGGATGGGATCGAAGCAGGACCATGCTGGTGTAGGTGTTGAGGATCAACTGGGTCACGAGCTTGGTTGGACCGGAGCTGGGAAATCTGCTCCTCTGGGATATCAGAGTTGGAAATATGAGCTTGGTGTTCAGTCTCGGGGTCCAGCTGTGGTCGGGGTGGAAGAGAACATTGGCTACAGGGTTCAGATGGATCGTGGGTTTGGTGAATCTGGTGCAGATTCTGTGGCTCCTGGTTTAGTTGCTCCTGAAGATCCTGATGCATGTGTAGGTACTGGGGCTGAGGGGAGGGGGTATGTCTCAAGACCCCACTCTCCTCCTCTAGTCCTCCTCCTCCTCCTCCACCAAACCTGTCATTATCAGAGGAAGGATTCACCTGTCGAAGCGCTCACACTCTCCCCTGAGCCACTAGGGGGCGATGGAGAGGAAAGGAAAAGTGGAAAGGAGCAGGCAAAGGAAGGAAGGGAGGTAATAAAGGAAATATGAAGGGAAGAAAGGAAAGGATAAGGATTAATGAAGAGGAAAAGAATAGTGGAAAGAAATGTATGTGTTAGAAGCAAAGCAAAGAAAAGCACCCAAGGATCATAAAAATCCAGCAAACATGTTTTAGTGTAGCTGGTAGTTTTTTCATAGAGTTTTTAAAGTAGCTAAATTTAAAATTCAACATCTAAAATATTTTAAGATTTCACAATGTAAACAAGGGGAAACAGCCTAAAAAGTTTTGCTATTTTATCTCTTTTGTCCTTAACAGACATTTCCAATAGCTGTGTGGCAACAGCAGAAGTCACGGCTACTGCTTCTTCTATATAATTACTCTGCATCATCTGCAGAATTAAGCATATACTGCAAACTGTGGTTAAACTCAAAAGGTACAACAGAGTATAAATGTCTAAAGGCTTAACTTACTGACTTAACTGTTTGATGGATAGAAAAAAAACAGATCAGCAGATACAGCAGATAAAACACAAAGGGGATGCAGAGAAAAATCTAAGCACTTCAGATCCAAAGCAACAGAAATAAAGAAAGAGTTTACTTTCCACAGAACTGTACATATTGACATGTTCCTACAAAAGAGGAGACACAAGGTTCTGTATGACACACACACAAAAGCAAACAAAAACCAGCACTCATACCTGCGTGTGTGTACTATGTCTTGTACACACTGATCTTTGTGGTAGCGGACAAACTGGGTGCAGGTGAGCCTGACCTCCTCTGGTACACTTGAGGGACTCAGATCCTCACTGTCCCTGCCGTGCCACAGGCCGAGCAACCTAACGCAGACACACACACACACACACACACTGTTCTGGTGCTGTGTCTCTGATTTGATCATTTATCAAAAGAATCTAGAAACCATGACGAACGAGTTGCAGAAGACTCTGCTCACCTTTTCTTGAAAGGCAAGATGATGAGGTGTCTGTCCAGACCAAAGATCCCAAAGGACAGGAAACCCTGAGACAGAGAGAAAAGGAGGTGAAATTCATAACAGCTCATTCAATGTACACACATACTTTACCCAGTCAGTACCTGTCCATAGTTTGCCACGGCACAGAAGAACTGTAGTTCGAGGTAAAGTCTTCCTGGATCTTTGTTAAACAACCACCACAGGCAGCTGGACAGGTTCTACACAGAGACAGATTCACCAATCAGACAACAGAACATTTATCCGTACCGCAGCATGTATCCGGTATCTGATCGTGTTTATGTACACACACACTTCCCCTACTGAGCACTTTATCCTCACCGCTAGCAGACTGACACTGAGCAGCAGACAGAGCAGGACGTGTCTGACCGTCTGTTTATCATCGGTGGGTTGGAGCCCAGGTGGCGGCAGGTTTAGCGGTTGCTCTGAGGAGGAAGAACTCTGGTGCTGCCCGTCACACAGCGCCCCACTGTGGCCTGGAGAGGAAAAGACACATTACTGATGTAATAGTCCAGAGTGATTGTGGATTATTTGCTCACTTCTGGATATTTTCTAAATTTTTTCATGTTACATAACTGCATAGCTTTCATCACACTTACAATATTTGATACTTTTCTATTTTAACTATTCTAACTACTGAAAACAGTGTGTCTCCAACTTTTGTAATGGTCTTACATGCCAGGTTGTGACAAAATAAAAGTCTAAAATTCAAGCATTTACAGTGAAGATGAGGGCGCCAGTTTCAAGTTATGAATTAAATTCTTAATTCTCTATTTTATTGTACAATTTATTTCTAGAATCTTTCTTTGTTATCTTTCATTTTGAAGAAGAAAACGTGAACCTCCCTGTTTCATTTCCTTAATAACAGCATTAATGTGGAACAGAGCATAGAAGTCAACTCTATCCTACCAGGTTTTTGGAAGTAAATGAGATTTGAAATTTTGGCCAAGCTAATTTAAAAATATTTTTCACATCAGTTCCTGCAAATAAAATGTACAACTTATATTCAAAATAAAATGATAACATCTTAATTTGTTACCTGTGTTGTTTGTGTGCTCCCTTTGTGTGCTGGCTATCATGTCAGGTATGGTCTGGACAGGAGAGAAACTGTGGAGGTCTGACAACAGAAACAGTAGAAATATTTACTGTAGATCATCTGGTCAGTACAGATTGGTTAAAGTTATAGAGTCATTTCAACGGTGCTTATATTTGTCCGTTAAAGCTCTGTAATCATTTTAACACATTCAGATCACATCTACATTTTTGTTTCATTTAGGCAAATATTAACCAACAGTCAGAGGACTGCTTTCAGTCCAAATCAGAATAAACTAAGAGTATTAGCGAAGAACCCAGATACCTGAATTGATGCTGCAGGCAGGTGAATTTGCAGTGGGTGTCTGTTGTTGTGGTTGTTGTGGATCCTCCAAGCCACCAGGGGTCCTCAGCTCATCGTTGATGCCTGTTACTGCAGCTCTGCTCAGGGCCTGGTAGCCGCTCTGCTCCCTGTCTCCCTGGCTGAGACCCATCAGAGATATTGCACCAAGCACCAGACTGACTGCAAGCACCACTGCTGTGCTGATTATCTAGAGTGGAACAGAGCATTACAAATACTGCATTATTATGAGTTCTGGGATTTATAAGAAATTCTTTGTTGAAAGTAAAAGTAGAAGTTAAAAGACAGACTCGAGCACAGCAGTAGTAAATAAACAGTACAGAATAAAAAACAGAGCACAACGTGGAGCTGCAGCAGGTGTGTTTCTAACCTGAGCTCTGCCATAGAAGAAGGCAGAGTCCATGGTTTCAGTCCTCTCTCCTGATATGAGAAGACTTCCGACCATGAGGAAGGGCACCCTACACACAACTACACACACACACACACACACACACACACACACACACACACACACACACACACACACACACACACACACACAATTTTCAAACCAAGCAAATTCCAAACATTTTTCGTTGTCTATGTAATTCACTCCCCTATTGTGTATGTGTTGTAGGGACCGTCCCTGTCCTCTATTCTTTCCACAATAAAAGCCTTTGAGCATTACATGCTCATCCATTTATCCTGCATATGAGAAAAACATGTCAAGAAAGCCTGAATGACAGCGCTGTAAATATCCCTTTGACCCTAGTTAACTGTGTCAAAAGTACACTTTAGTTTTACGATATACGTTATTATGATCTACAACGTAAATATGTTGATTTGAAACACTTTGACGCACCCCCAACCCAGAATCATGAATACTCCTGGTCGGAGTCTCAGCAGATCATCTCTGTTAGTCAGAGCCAGACACAGAGGGATTAAGCCTGAAAAACAGAACAAAACAACATGTACATGAAAGCACCAGTGAGTACATACTTAACAGCTCATTTCAGTACTGAGTCAAATGTAGTCTAATTACAAATATGCACACTTACCTGTCCAAATGTAGGTGCTGTACAGAGACCCGTAGAGCAGTGTGAAGGTGAGAATTTTGCCGAGCAGATTATCCTCTTGTTTCACAAGGAAGTTCCACAGGATCATACTGACACACACCAAGAACTAGAGCAGAGAACAGTTCAGGAGGTTAAGGTAGAACAGGGAAGTGAATGTGAGCAGCCAATGTGCTCAGCTGACATCTCCTGATCTATTAACAGAGAAAAGAGAAAGACAATAACCTCAAAATATCATTATATAAAAGGTTAGGTTAACTGGCAAATGTAAACTGCCTGTTAGTGTGAGTGTGAATGGTTTTCTGTTTCTATGTGTCACCTACGATTCTCAAAGATAAGTGGGTATAGTTAATGGATGCATGGGTGACTGTTGATGCACATGGTTTAGAGCACTGTACACAAATCAGCTGTTGGATGGAGACTCACCTGAGCCAGGAAAAGGTTTAAGGCAAAGAGGTGAGGAAGTCTGTTAAATTTCCTGCTGAGCAACATCACAGCGATGGTCCACACCTGAGAAGACACAGGCATATGATCACACTTCTGACACTCATTCACATTATTTTCCATGCATCCTTTCACTTTGTGTGGAAATTCTTCCAGAACCACAAGGACTAAACAGAGTCTTTTAGTTTTCCTTCCTGTCAGCTTGACTGAACCGCTGGAGGACACTGAAACATTGGTTTTGATACGAGATATGTCAGTAAACACACTCACCAGTGCTAGAAGGCTGACAATGCTGATGTTGAAGCTAACGTTTTCAAGCTCCGTCACCAGCGGGGTCGGGTCCATTAGCGGGATTGTTAATAACCAGGCCGACACGTACATGATCGGTGCAGACAGAAACGTACTGATAACCATCCCTGATGTTACCTTTAGAGAAAGATAGAGAGAGCTTTATAGTTTATGGGCTTTGTTGGCATGTGACCTGAGCAGGAGACAGGAAGCAGGATTACAGCATCATCAGTACTTACCACCTCTAACTCCACGTTGTAGTGTGCGGCATAGATGGCCACGCTAGGTGCGGTGGGGAAGACTCCATATAGGAAAGCAAAGTTGGACAAACTGGTGTGGTTGGCACTCGTGCTGTTGACTCCTACGTCAAGAATATCCACCATGTCTTTACAGACCAGGGGCATCACCAGGCTGGAGAGAGCAGGTAGAGACAGAGGATCAGTGGGTGAAGCAGTTCTAGATGAAGAAGATCAGGCTGGGAACCACCATCCAAATACTGATACACTTTGTCTAAAACCCCAGATTCTATTATCATTACACTCTCTAACATGGTTTTGGATGCACCAGCCACTTTGGCTTGTGGACATTGAATTACAACATTATTCTTCTGCAGTTAATGGTGGAATTGCACTGGACTACATTATTTTATTATAATAATCTATCCCTAAATAGAGAAGAAAATATTCAAACATGCAAACATTAGTAAGGCCACTTATATCACATACACACATACAAGCACCATCCCAGTCCCACTTACTACTTACAGCTTGGCTGTGATGAGAAGTATCAAGGCAACTCCAGTGTCTCTGGTTAGTTTTCTAAGTTGGCCGACCTGCCACAGAAACAGAGATGATGTTATTTATGTTAATATCCTCCATGTTTACACCGGCTTCAAAACAGTTGAAAACTAAGTTAAGTGGAGTAAACTAAACTTAAATAAAAATCTAAATTATCTTACATGAAGCTGCAGTAAGACTTAATTAAACTCACCATAGAGAGGCCTAGGTAAAACAAGGCTGCGCCTCCAAAGGAGTTGGCCAGGCCGTCTATGAACTCCGACAACACAGCGGGGATACGCTGGCCCAAGGCAAAATGGGAGACAATTCCCACTATCACCATAAACACTATTGGGTTCTTCAACACCTGCAGGGGTGACAAGTGTTAATGCCATTCAAGCCTCAATGAGAGTAATCATTTGTGACTTTAGAAACTCCAAGAGGTGGTATCAAAAAGACATTGTTTTAGAAAGCTAAAAATGCACAGATTGGGGCTTTAAATTGAACTTAACATCCTCAATTCTTACTTACACCCTGTCAGAGGGTTGGGATTATTATGCATGCTCTGGTTTGTAATTCACCATAAAAACCTACAACTAGTGCACACAATACCTGTAAGACTACAACTCCCAGGATGCCAAGAGTGCTGTGCTGAACATGGCTGGCCTGCCTCCACTTCTGCACCTCACAAAGAGCGAAGCCGATGGGATTGAGGAGCATGAGGGAGACCGGGGCAACTAGATAGATGTACTGGAGGTATTCTGGATATGTGCTCCGATACAAAGCATCAACTAGAAAATTAGAGACGGAGAGAGAGATGCATACTGTTTGTGTCTGAAACAGTGTTTTTCATCACTGACAATCTGTATGAGTAGTTTGTCAGTATCAGTGTTTTGTGTCTGCCTCACCTATGGGGTATCCCAGGGCAAAGTCATTGCTCTGCGTAGCAAAGATTGCATACAGACCCGCCTTGCTGTACCTGCTGTCTGGACTGGCCACCATCAGTGTCAACACACATACGAGCACAAACACTGTCACCTACACACAGGATGGGAGCAATAAAGTCAGGCTGTGTTTGTTAGGTTCTCTATCACAGTACCATTTCGCATCACTCCTCAAGGACTTCCAAAGAAAATTGAGCAAAATCTCACTCTATGTCTGGAATTCTCTCAAACCATCATGATGTAAAATAGAAAGTAAACACACATATTGTAAAAGTGTGAACACTAACATAGGTACACGAAACTAAACCAACCTTAGCAACCAGGACGCTCCAGAGAAACGCCCAGATGACGTCTCCAAAGTCCAGCAACACCATGTTTTTAAAGAGCAGAGCTGGAAGAGCAAACTTAGACACAAAGTTGCCCAAACCCTTCGCCTGGCTCTCTGTGATGATATCTGCCCTGTGCGGAGGAATGGAAGAAATAACCATGAACGCATAAAAAGCAACAGAGGTTGATCACTAGCCACTTTCATATTTTTACTGGGTATCTCTACAATTTTCACATACAGCACAAACCAAACATGCTGACTGTATACCTGCAAAATGACAGAGACATAGACTATGAGCAATGCCACTACATAAAGACACACTGGGGCAAAAAAACACCTTCATAGGCAGGAAACTATATTTGTATATATATTAATAACCTACCTGCCAGCTATGTAACCACACAATATGATACCAAAGCACTCAAGGAGAGCTGGGAACAGTTTGTCGATGGACATGTGGGCCCCAGCAGCGGAGCCCACAATGGTATTATGGGATATGTTCTTCCCATGGATCAGCACATAGTTGTTCGGGGTCTCCATGGTGACGATGGGCTGGGGAATGTCAGCTCTCTGGAGAAAGGCAAGACTGGAAAACACACAATCAGTGGCAGGCAGGCGTGACTGTAAACATGCATGATAGGAATACACTGCGCAGAGAATTAAGAGTGAGTAACTGTGAAAATTTCAATGTCTTCCCGCTGGAGGGAAACTGAAAGAAACCAAGACGAGGGGGGGCTTTTGTCAGGGTGCCCAGAATCGCTAGCTCCGCCTCTGCGCGTGACCCTACCGTTAGCCAAGTTACCACGAGTCAACACGCTTCATTCAATGACAGGAGATTTCTACAATCTAACGACACTGTAGCAAAGTGATGTTAATGCTCTGTAACGTTAAACGTCGTAAGAAACTAAGTGCTTTGTATGGCAGCACCATTGTGACTGTCAGCTGACCGTTAGCGTTAGCCAGGTGCATGCTAAAAACATCAAGGAAAACACGGCGTTAGTGAAATCGCAGGACGCAATAATGTACATCTGCCACACCTGGAATGAATTAATGATTTTAAACGACTCGACCAGAAATAATATCGCTTACCTTTGTTACTTATAAGACCATCCCTGCTTGGAGATATAGGAGACTCATATGTCTTGCTAGGTGAGCCAGCCAGTGTTTTCGCCGTTTGGGTGAGCGGCTCCTGAGTCTGACAGCTGCCCAGAGTGGCAACGCCCTGAAAAATGACTGACAGGCGATTCAGCCAATCATCACCAAGACACACTTCAAACTCCAACTGTGATTGGATAATGATTATTGCCCTGTGGCGCTGCATACATGTAATAAGGAGATGATTAAATCTTTGGACCTCAAAGCTAAATTTATTTTACAGCAACATAACAGACAGAATGTCAAGACAAAGGGGAATTAGTAATGGTTTTCGCATTCATTAGTTAAATACGGTTATAATAAGCCTTCGACTGAAGTACTGAGTTTTAATGTTATCAGAAGACATCTACTCTCTTCCATTCCTTATGTTTGCAGCACTGACACACGCTGGACGCTGTGAGCAGGATTTGAACCTGCGAGGGGAATCCCCATTGGATTTCGAGTCCAACGCCTTAACCACTCGGCCATCACAGCACAGTTCCTCATTGCTCCTTCCATAGTTGGAAAGATAAATTACCTCGAGGTAATTATCTTTCAGTATCATATTGCATATAATCAAACTTCAATAAAGGGACAGGATTTTAGTTGAAGCAACATCATTGTTAGGCCATGAAGCCTGACAGATAAAGGGATGATGCGTTTGAGGTCTAATTGGTTTACAAAGGTTGATTTACAACTACAAACAAATTTGAGCGTATGGGGCGTATATAGCTACAGCTAACAGTTTTATTTTTAAAAACATCTGCTGCTAACTAATATACATCTCTCAGCATAAAACAGGCTATGTTAAACCTTACACGGTTGGGGTTTAACTGGTAGTTTACTATTTGTAGAGCTTTGGTCAGTGAATTGATAAACAGTTGTTACTGAGTAGTTCGTCATTACTCCATCAATATATCACAATAAGTTCCTCAACAATTCAGACACAGCAAGTTTCCAAACAAGTATTTTAATTATTACACTTGATTAGGGGATGTGCAAAAGATCACAGTAAAGACAATATCTGTTATGTGCAGGGATAAATACCTCAAGGTGTTACTGTAATGTGGTTGTCGATTGATGAGGCCAGATGTAGAAGAAAAGGCTGGTGCTGGTCCATCATTGGTGATGATTAGACTGGACTTCTGGTCCTGATACAGACAAACATGTGATAGGACAATGCCTTTAGATCATACAAGTTCTTTATATTCAAACAGGTCTGTTGTGTGTGTGTGTATATAATAAATAGTGAGGAGAGATATGAATATGCTAAAAATAAACACTGAATATTCTGAGATATACACAATGTGAACACTAGTAACAGTATGAATATTATGAAATGTAAATGCAAGGAAATGAAGAGTAAACAATTAGAGGTATGATAAGAATTCAATGTACAAATATGGATATACTGTAAAATACATAACCAATATAGGCAGTGGTATATTCATTATTAAGAATCAGCAGTATGAACATGTTTACACTGTGGGTCTGATTTAATCAGTGGTATAGACAAGTCTTACTTTTAAAAGTGAATGATAGCATGTTACTCACCTAGACCCTCCTCACTGTATCTCTGCTGTTGGTGAGACAGGTGAAGGCGGTATTGCATCTGTACTGGCTCAGGTCCTGATAAAGACAGAGGGATGCTGAAATCTCCTGAGAAATGTAAAGACCTAGTTCACTTTCAATCATGGCTGATCTCCTCACAGTAATGTAAAGTGGTTACAACATGGTGAACCGATCGACGTGTATTCACTCGGTCTGCTGGGTCCATACAATCTCAATTAGGTAGAGTAGACAAAAGTACATTAAATGTGTAGTGTACTGAAGGACAAATTTGAGGTACTTGCACCTACTACTCCACTACATTTGAGTGTAAAACATTGTACTTTTTACTCCACATATGGTTGTGACTTTATGTTTCTCCACCAGATGGCAGAAACAACCAATTTTAGCTCTAAACAGCACCACCATTAGAAGTTTGTCTAGTCTACCTTGAAATACAGTCTGCCAAAGGGCATAATTAGCGTCCAGGGGCCACAAATTCTCATGTGTCTAATAACAGGTAAAGGTCATTTTGTGATTAATTTATCTGCCTCAACATAATGGCAGTTTAAAATGTTCAGTGTGATTTGTAAAAATAGTTTGTTTCATTTTGTGCAACAAACTCAATAAAAACATAACTTACAACTCATTCTTTTGAACACACCCGTTCTACCTAATCATCAAAGGGACACGGACCGTTCTTTCCATCTGTGCGTAATGAATGAGAGGAAAGTGCTTCATAATGAAATTCAACATATCTTGCGCCCACATAGTTATTATAATAATTATCTTGGTTAAAGTTAGAACAACGGAGCTCATATTGTTCTGTCTGACATAGTAATGGATCCCAATTTTGCTGCAATCAGAGCAGAAAAGTGTCACATTTCAGCTTTCAGCAAAGTCTGATCGAAAGAGATCCCCTTTATAAGAAAAAAAAAACCTTTGGCAATAAAAAATATTACATTCTTACACATTCTTCAGTTGTACAGTGGTGAGATCATCACATGCCTGTGGCCACTGATTTCATCAACACAGAATCTTAATGAGCTGCTGAAGTCAGTGGAAGTGTGGGAGACCGGCCGACATGAAACATTTTAACGTGATATGTATAATGAGGTTGCATTTGACTGCCGACACCTACATGACACTTTGTAATATAAATGTCACGCAGAAAGGCAGCAGCAGAGGAAAAGGTCAAATTATTTTCCTAATTGTGGAAATTTGGACAATCTTAAGATTCACATTTCCAACCTTTAAGGTGGCAAACTGCTTTTTTGTTAACCACAGTCTTGTCTTTGCACAGAAATGGCGTGGGGTTGTCTTTTCTCTGGGTTCCTTAAAGGATTACAGATAAAACACAAACACAAGAGTTAAATATCTCAGATTAATGCTGTGCACAACCAGAATGACAAATACGAGCAGACTGTCAAGATCCTGGTGTTTCATGAAATTTCATCTGGTGGAAAAAACAATCCCATGTCTCCTGCTTGAAGTCAGAATATTTGTGGAAAATGAACACTGTCTGTGGCTAGTTAACATTCAGAGTGGTATTACTTCAACCTCTCTGCATTTAAACCAGGCTTTTTAAAATTCTTAACGATAACGATAAATCAGTGGGGCTGATACACATGTCAGCCCCACTGTCCTGTCCTGCAGCTGCCATGCACTGTGTGTATTAGATTATTAATTCTGGTTTGTTCTTAGTGTTTCAGCACACAGTGGTTCCCATATTTATACAAACCAGATATTAATCTTCAACTGCTGCTGCCCAGAGCAGAACACCTGATGTGCATGTAATGATGCCGCAAAGCTGTTGACAACCGGTACGCAACCTGTAATATAGATGGCACACAACAGGGCAGCAGCACAGAGAAATAACGGCAGAACATTTTCCTAACTACGGCAATTTGATTTGACATCATTAGGATTTATTCACAAAGATCAGGTTGGTCAATATAATGTCCAAAAGACACCTGGCTCTGTGCCCTCTAATTGCACCTTTGATCAGCAGAGGGGCCTTTCTCTTTGGCCCAAATTCTCTGCCGCTCATTCAAGGAGTCATCTGGTCAGCTCAAGTGCTGACCCCGGTCTTTAGAAACATGCTACTGCATTCTTTAAACCACTTTAGCCCATGTTTGCCTCTAACTGTGCTCTTTTAGGACCATATCAAACAAATTACAGGGTGCACCCATGATTCTGTTGTCTGTCATGGCTCTGTAACACGCACGTTGGCAATCGTGGTCCTTGAGATGCAGAAAACTTCTGGTTCTGATGGTGTTCACCCAGCGTAAACTATGTCCTGTGAATCCTTGTTGGCCACTCAGAAGGAGAGTCAAGTCTTCAAGCTTTTTGTTAATTTGACCAGAAACTCAAGAGAAGCGAAACAAAGACGGAAACAGCACACACAAACACACTCCTGCATGTGTCTGTATGCAAACATAGCTCCAAGGCCACAATATGGAAATGACTTGATTTTAGCATGACAGCAACTTCACTGTTTTTCAGCATTCTGAAGTGACAGTGCTGCACCAATTATTCATAAAGTCACATATTTCAATCTGACAGGTTTAGATTGTTTAAGATTTGTTACTGGGTGTATAATGAAGTCTACAGGGAGCATAGCCTTTTGTACTGCAGCCTATAGCTTTTGGCCAGCGGAGAAGTGCATGGAATGTATTATACATCCTGTATTTTGTTTGAGGGTTTGTGGATCCATAGAGAGCCTCTCAGAAAGTGAGAGGCTCTCCATCATTTATGATTTACTGGATTGAATATACAATCATGAGGTCAAAGTGAAACAGATGGCTGAGAAATACAAACTAAAGAGAAAGTTTTTTTTTTTTTTGTTAAAGTTATAGGAAGGAATACAGTCTGAACAAAGACAGCGAATAGCTACCTTCATTACATGTCATGATCCTCCTCTGTCTTGCCTGCAAAGTAAATGTCAGGTCACGTTTCCCACGCAATGAGGACCATATGAAAATATTAACTGCAGCAGAATTTCATTAGTCAATCAATAAAGGTAGCATATTGATAATAACCGTGTTTGCAGCACATCAGGAACATTCACATTTTCTGTTTGAGGAGTTGGTTCATTAATTTAAATGTATTGTTGGTCGATTTGCTCAAAGAAACAAAACTATTTATATTTGTAATGTTGGTAACGATGACCTGGTTTTAGATAATCAGATGAATGAGTATTTAATTGCCTAAAGGTGTTTGAAAGGTATAAATTAGTCCCAAATTTGTCACCGTAGCAACAAAACACCTTTACTTACCTCTTCTTCATGTGGTGTTTTTAGAGATGTGAGCTCAGCTTTCAGGTGTAGGTTTGATGGGACTCCACAGTGGGATGGGGTTTCCTCCCTGAGTGAGAGTTAATTAATAATGTCATTGTTTTTCTTCAGGAGAGGAGCGAGAGAGAGAGCGAGATAGAGAGAGAGAGAGAGAGAGAGAGAGAGAGGTGAAAACAGGAGGA